TATAATGTGATTGTTATCATGAAAGGGAATTGTTAGTAATGTGATAACCCCACAGGTTGACCTCCACATGGTTCCCCTGGAAACCATAGTGATAAATTCATGGTGAATTTACCACGATGTGCTAACTGACCTGACGTCATGCTCACGTTTTTTACAAAAAATAAAAGAATTTTATTTATGTACTAGCTGTCCCGGCAAACGTTGTTTTGCCTTAAAATAAAAAAAAGGGGTGGACTACCCCTAACATTTAGGGGGATGAAAAATAGATGTTAGCCGATTCTCAGACCTACTCAATACGCTCACAAAATTTCATGAGAATCGGTCATGCCGTTTTGGATGAGTATGGGAACGAAAACTGTGACACGAGAATTTTATATATAAGATATGTGCTGAACAAAAGGCGGCCATATCGCTAAAAATGTCATATTTTTATAATTAATACAAAATTCAACAGATGTCAGCACTTTCGGTGCGGTACAAAGTCAGTAACGGTACGACATATAGGATTATTTTAAAAAGAAAACACTTGTAATCTGCATTAGCATATTAATTTAATCTTATATAAATACTATTATTATTAATTATTTAATAAATAAAAACCTTATAAACAAAAACTATTTTTAACATAACACAGATAAAAAAGTCTGCAATCGCGCTATTTAAAAGTTGTTATAGCGCCATCTGTATATGGGTTTGTAAACTAAAATGTATTCTGTATCATTGAGCATTGCGTCATGAAAATTACGTAACTGACACTGATCATCCGCCCCCCACCCCTCAGGGGGTGAAGGTTTTTTTTATTGATGACTAGCTGTACTCGCGACTTTGTCCACGTGGACTTTGACAAAAAATTAGATAACTTTTCTAAAACAAAAGTACCCTAAGATACTCCTTATTACAGAAGCTACCTGCCAATAAAACTCCCATCAAAATCGGTCCAGCCATTTCAGAGATTAGCCGGAACAAACACACTATTTATTTATATATATAGATAATGGAATGGTGCACCCGTATGCGCTGACGGTATACGCTGGCGGGGCACCAGTGGAGAATAAGATAAGCATGAGGTCAGATCTGTTAGCATATCGTGATAAATTCACAGGGAATCGCGTGAAAGCCAACCTGGCATCTTATGTTACTAGCTATGTTCCACATTACTACCAATCCCCGTTTCCCGGGGGTGATAGGGCCTCGGGGCAACCCCCTTTGCTCCGGTATCAACTCAGACAAGGGTTGCCAACCATACTTTATAATATATAAGTAACCTACTTTGTAGTTTTACATACAAATAAAGTTTGATACGTAAAACAAATTACTCATTATTGGTACTTAACGATTTATAATTACTGAACGAAATGTTTTTTTTTTCTCCTCCTCCATCTTAGGCTTTGCCTTCGCATTTAGCCAATATCAAAGTTAGGGAAATATACACAAAAATATACGGAATAGAACGGAATTTTGTAGGATAAAGGATATGTCAATTGTGAGTTGTGACATTTGTCACAGCTCTAGTGTTAAAAGCATACAAAAATACGTTTTTAAAGCAATAAAAACATGATTTTTTTTCCTTATATTTTAGTTCAGACGTTTTTTTTGTTAAAAAAAGTTGGCAACCCTAACTCTGAGGGCAATAACCCCCGGTTGTAAGCCTTAGGCCGGAATTAACCTATAAAGAAAACTAAACTAAATAATCAACTTACTTATTATTATTACATACCCTTACTAAAGAATTAGTGTCATACTTGGGGTTACTTTTTTGGGATTTAGTCGTTTTCAAACTACCTATTTACTTGTTACCATAACTTTTAAGTTTGTTTTGAAAATAATACATTTTTTTAATTTAATAGGAATGAAAGAAAGAAATAAAGAACCTTTGAATGGCAACCTTTCTCCACCATATGAACAGCACTACTACATCACGTTATCACACGACATCCATTATATCGTTCATGCATCGCCAATTCGGAGCACTAAAATCTCATTCGATTTATGCTGTAATTTCACTGCCTAATCTCAACCTATAACTGTAATACAGCTTACAAACCCCGTGCAATTCACACATAACAATCACATTATAAAACAAAGTCGCTGTCGCTGTTTTTTTCCCCTCCGATCGATCCCCAGTCCAATTCAAACGGGGATCGAAATTACGACGGCCTGAGCCGAGGTTCGAATCTTTAAAGGTACCCTCAGACTAAAGTCGTATCCGACAGGCGGGAGTTGGCCTTCAGCTGCTCCATAAGCCCTTCCTTTGGTTTGGAGTGTCATCTGCATGCGCCCCCTATCGTCCGGTGAAACAGTAAAGGCCAGCTGCGGCCAACAGCATTAGAGTAGTCCGGAATAAAAAACTGTCTGTTCGTCCCTATGTATGCTTAAATCTTTACAACTACGCAACGGATTTTGAAGCTGTTTTTTTTAATAGATAGAGTGATTCAAGAGGAAGACTTATATATATAATACATGCATTATTACAAGCTCAGTTTAGTTTGAAACTAGATGGCGCTGTGTGAATTGAATGAATCGTGTCATTATTATTATAAATTGACGGCCTCGGTGGTCTACTGGTTTAGATAACCGCCTTACTTCCGATAGTCGCGGGTTCGATTCACGCAACACAAAAAAAATTTTATTCATGAGTATGATTGTTTTGGTATTTTATATGTGTGAAAAAAAAATATATCTATATATTTATATCAGTTATCTAGTACCCATAACACAAGCTTTAGAGTAGTTCGAAAAAAAGCTGCTTGGCGACTGGAATACTGAGTTTGATGATTTAGAATCTACCTCGGTCTATTATAGAAAAAATAATTTTCTACGCTTATTAATAAGCCAACTCTTTATATACCTGTTTTTGTTCAGGTTTAAATATTAATTAATTGATTTATATTTCAGCGAACTGTCATCGTTACACAGACAAGTAATCAACTGACAATTATAAGTATCTTGACAAATAAAAAAATATTTCATAGACAATACACATAAAATAAACGTACATACTTCCTTTAAAGGATTAACAGAAAAAAAAATAGAACATATGTACTAACTACGTATCATCTTCTACTAGTACTCTTCTACTTCTACCAGTGTTAGATAAGTGTATCATTCCAATCAAACATTAAAATAAAAATATTAATTTAATTTTAACCACAGGCAATAATAAAAGTTCATATATTTTATCCACAAGTAGTTAGACAAAGGTACAAGACCATACAGCCACATAATCTTCAGTAAAATGTATAATTCTAGATAAGATCACAGAGTAATTACAGCACTACCTAATTCTTCATCCAAACTACGTTTCAGGAGTTAGCGCGTTGGGTTCATAATTTTTTTTTCTAATCTGAATCAGATCAAAAAATTACATGATGTTGTTATAGTCATATCAAGAATTTTCCTAATATTATATACGTGAAAGCTTAAAAAAAATATAATATGATGACTAAAATATATTATTAAAAGGGGTCCCTTTAGGCAACGTTCCGAAGATACTGGCAGCGTTCCCTCTTTGAATAGCTAGACTAATTCTTTGTCCAAGGTAGCTGCCAGCTCTTCGGTCTTCTGTGATGTCGACTAAACTTTTCGTTATTTTGAAAAGTCTTATAGTGAAAGTATGGATGGATGTTTGAGGATTTTTATGAAACTTTACAGTAACATATCTTATACATCCGAATAACACAGGCTATATATTTCATGCGGATGAAACCGCGGGAACAACTAGTTACGCAATAATTTTTATATTATTGATCGAATTTATACTACAAGTAATAATTGTTATATTATGTAATAGATAGCCATTTGATTTGATAAATGCATATAATATTATTATTATACATTCAAGATACAAGCGTTCCTAGGACATAGAGTAAAATTAATCATATGTAGGTTCATATGTAGATTCATTAATATTATAAACTTGAAAGTGTCTCTCTGTCTGTCTATTTGTTATCTTTTCAGGACTAAAGAGCTGAACGGATTTTAATGAAATTTTACATAAAGATAGTCACGGAAACGGATTACAAAAAGAAACGATTATCTTTTATACAAAAAAAAATTTATTTTGAAAATTGATTTTCTTGTGATTAGTATAAAATTCATCAAAAATTCATTCATTTTCCGCGATATATATTCAAAATACGTCCAAACAAGTTGGTCATGCAATGGACATGGCATCATTAACCGTAAGACAATATTCTCCATATCAGAATCGCTGAAAATAACTATGTACCATGTCAAGTCGACCACCACGCGATCTTTGGAAGCCAACGCGGTTATCATTTGGTAAATTCACAATTCACGATAACGAACCTAACTTGATCCTCATCTTACCATTCTCCAGTCTTGGAGGGTGAATCTACCGTTACCACAACAATAGCACCGCTCCATATTCATCCAATAAAAAACTCTGTAATGTACTTAAAGGTTACAGTTGTCCATCTATAATTTTTATAATCTATGGCATCGCCCATTACATTTTATCAGTTCTGTCAACTGTGAACGAGTATTTTATAGCAGTGTGGTCAACGACTTAGTACTCGTTACGCGACCAAAGCTTGTAGACGTTAAAAAATAAACAATTCCCGCCATTTTCCATAAAAACCATTCTCGCGGCACTTAGAATGAATTTATTTTTGTATTAATCTGTGAAACCACATTTTTAATATTGTATATTTGGTAAACAGTCGGTAGCATAGATTAATCTTGAAGATTTCGTTCCCAAAGGTCAGTGTCTTTTAAAAATATAGTGTTTATTTGCCCAGTGACAATAAAGACGAGTTTCTTGTAACTATATTATATTTATTATTATACATAGATAGATAAACGTTTTATTTGTATCTTTATCACATACACAACAAAATCAAAACAAAAATAGTGTCATCTTCTTTTATTTAAGCTGTTTTTAGTTCGAAAGAAAGAGAGAGCAGTGTGTTAGTTAAGATTAATTTGTAGGTTTTAGTTTTTGTAAGTAACAAAGTAAAAGTGTTTGTGATTTATAAGTTATGAAGAAATCACAAGTGTTTCATGCTGCAGGTATGTACCTAAACATATTTATATTAACAATACTTGGAATGTATATTTATATTATTGTTCATAACAATCATAACTCAGAATAATTCACACAGAGCCCTTTGATCTCAGAGTAAGCGTAGGTTGTAGCGCAGAAAAAAACATGATCTGTGGGTATTTCTGCAAAATATATTTATTTATTTAATAAATACCAACAACGTTAATAACAGTTTAAGAAATAAATGTATGAATATAATATGCAAGTTTAATTCGAGTAGTTGTGCTTAATAATGATTTAATTATACATTATTAATTAAGATTAGGATTAAGGAGAGTAGTGGGTCACAAGATGGCGGCCTACGAATAGTGACTCGGCAAAAAGTGCATTGTACGAGCAGCCCGCGAACGCAACGGACGTGCCGCGCGCAGGATTCTAATACAATAAACGTCGTTATGGGTGTTCCTTTTGGTGTAAATCAGTCAATAATTTAGTATGTTAAGATACTAACTGCCCACGACTACTACTGAATTAATCTCTACATAAATTCATACACAAATATATTTTATGTCGCAAGATTTGAACTTACGACCTCCAGGTATACTCCAGGGACACTCGAAACCCTAGCAGTGGGGGGAAAGGGGATTGTTAGTAATGTGGATTGATGATCTTATTGCTAGCAATGTACCATGTCAGGTTGACCTCCACGCGGTTCCCCCTGGAAATATTCGTGATAAATTATTGGTGAATTTGTCACGATGGGCTAACTGACCTGACCTCATGCTCATTGTTATCATCCTCCACTGGTGCCCCGCCAACGTACGCCGTTAGCGCAGGCGGCACCATTTTATTGTCATCCATAAAAAAAAACGCCTAGCAGTAGGTAGTTTTAAGCTGAAATCGCATCCATCAGGCTTTTGGTCTTCAGCTGCTCCATAGACATTTCCGCGAGTTTAGAACAATGTCTGCACACTTCCCCACTTTTCGTCAAGTTATTTTTTTTCAGACCACTAATAGCCTTTATTTTAAATACCTTATACACGAACAATAGCAATATAAATAATCTTTATTCAAATAAACTTCATATTTTACACTTTTGAATAGTCATATTTTTTTTATTCTACCACTCATTCGGAACGCAGACTCATCACAAGACGAATGAGCAAGACACTTATATGTTGATCTTTTAAATATATGATGTTTAAGTAGATTTACATTAACAAGGACTAGGCATGCGACAATCAACATAGAAATCGCTATGCACTCAATCTTTGTTCAATCAAATAACATTATCAGTAATATGAATTTTAAGTTAGTTTTCTACAACATACATATTTAAATTAATGTAAATATAATTTGTCTGTATGGTCACGGTACTGACAGCATCTGCCACGGTAGCGCCGATACACCACCCCCTTCTGCCAGTAGTCCTTCATGAAGATGAAGCATGTTGGTAAGGACCCGGGTTACAAACACCTTGAAACTCGCGTTATGACTCGCCTTCAGCTGCATCACCTTCACTGTCAGATTATTATAGATATGTAGTCTATAATCTGTAATAGCATTAGATCGAGATAAAAACACTCCATGACTTCCAGAAAACCCCCATATACGGTACAATCCGCTGAAAGATGAATGGGTACTCGTCTCCCCTCACCGATGTCTCCGACCCTGGAGCGGACAGACCGAGCCACCACCAGAGGAGCAGGCTCCGGATCCCAACAATCCATTAAAAGCTGGAACTGTCAGGGCTAATGGACAGGTGAGCAAATATTTTTTTATTTGAACACTTTTTTTATACAACGGTGGTGGCAAACAAGCATACGGCTCATCTGAATGTAAATTAGTTACCGTATGAACGCCTGAAACACCAGGGGTGTCACGTGCGCGTTGCCAACCCTTAAGAAACCTTAATATACCCTTCTTGAAAAATCCCAAGCTGTAGTCTCTCGAGGAAACTTCGGCAGGTAGTTCATTCCACAATGTAAATGTTTTTTTTTTATACTACTATGGTGGCAAACAAGCATACGGCCCATCTGATGGTAAATGGTTACCGTAGCCTATGGACGCCTGAAGCACCAGGGGTGTCACGTGCGCGTTGCCGACCCTTAATATACCCTTCTTGAAAAACCCCATGCTGTAGTCTCGTGAGAAAACCTCGGCAGGTAGTTCATTCCACAATGTAAGTGTACGCGGGAGGAAGCTCCTCTAAAACCGCACTGTCCGAGACTACTTAGGTTCAAGCGTGTGGGATTATAAAAAAATATATCTTAGTTTTTATATCAGTTGTCTAGTATCCATAACACTATCTGATCTACTTGCCGTGGGACTAGATGGCCTTGTATTAATTGTCCAGGGTTCAACACCCAGACTGATACAAACAATCTTACTCATGAGGAACCGAACCCGTGACCCCAAGGCCGTCAATTATTTATTTATAATAGTATATTTGTATTGTCAGCGAAATCCAAACTACACGTCTACCTACGTGTTCCCCAATGACTTCCCAGCCTTGTTGGAGCGTGGACCAGCTCCTCCGCAGTCAGACCATCCTCTGTTTCAGGCTGAAGAAGCCAGAGGCACTTGCAGGTAACTATCATACCTTTATTCCATGATCATTTGTAATTTTTTCATCCATGTGACGGCCTCGGTGGTCTAGCGGTAAAGCACACCTTTTTACATCCTAAGTCGCGGGTTCGATTCTCGCACGGTATATTTATAAAACTTTGGGTCTAGATGGCGTTGCGTGAATTGTCCAAAGTATTATTATAAATGCAACATTTTGTGAGTATGGATGGATGGACGTATGTTTGTTATCTTTCGCTTCATGCAAAAACTACTAAACGCATTTTTATGAAATTTTACAGCAATACAACTTATACATCAGAATAACACATAGGCTGACAGATTCACGCAGTTGAAACCGCGGGCACGGCATATCATATTTTCAACTTTATCCGTATAAACAAAAGGTTCAATTTATTTCGTCGATGAGTTTACACTTGGCTTACTACTACATACATAAAGGCTATAAATCTCATGCATTTACAGGTAATAGAGGTATAAATTTAAGTCAAATTTATTTTCAGGGTTATGTGCTTCCATCCAAACTCTACAGTATCAATTCCGTTGATGACAGAAGATGAAATACTCTCCGTGGTTGAAGAGTAAGTGACTATTATTTATTTATACACCTCTTTATTGCACTATATAAAATAACAGAGTGTGTAGGAACAAAAGGCGGTCTTTTTTTTATACCACTTAGATGGCAAACAAGCATACGGCCCGTCTGATGGTAAACGGTTACCGTAGCCTATGGACGCCTGAAACACCAGGGGTGTCACATACGCGTTGCCGACCCTTAAGAAACCTTAATATACCCTTCTTATCACTTAGCAATCTCTTCCAGACAATCTTTTGGTAGAGAAGAAAAAACAAAAGGCACGTGGCACTAGAATGGAATAGTAAAAAAGTAAATAATTAATAATAAATAAATGCCAATTATTTATTACATTACATTATAAATTCATAATAATGAAAACACATTGCATATAGATATAAAAAGTATATATCTATATGAACATACATATATAATAGCTGACTACGCAAGTTTTTTTTTTGCCATATAAATTAAAATCGTTAGTAAAAAATAGGGGTTGGTGATAGATGGGTAAAAATTTATGGTTGTATGTATTTTTGACTTATTTGGATTTTTTTAACTTACATCTAAGAGGTTGTGAGTTTACGCCTAAAGTCTTCTATTAGCAATAATATGCAATACTAACAATTATTGCTTCGAAAATATTTTAGGCGCTTCGCATTTTATAATCTATGTCAAATAATACCCTTGGACAATTCACACAACGTCATCGAGTTCCAATATAAGCAGAGATTGTGTTATGGATACTAAACAACTGATATAAACACTTTTTTTAAATAATATAATATACATAGAAAACACCCAGCCCGATACAAACATACTCATGAATATCTACAAATGCTTGCACCGTGCGAGGAAATGAACCCGCGATCATCGGAAGTAAAGCGGTATACTAAAGCACTAGACCACCGAGGCCGTCAAATAACCACTTTAGTTTCCAGGGCAGACCGCGTGGAGGTCAACCGGCACTAAGAACATTTTATCCTCTCTCCAAAACCGAGCTAAAGTTTTAGTAGTATTGTATATTGACGACTTCGGTGGTCTAGCGGTCAAGCACACCGCTTTACGGCCGATGGTCGCGGGTTCGATTCCTCGCAGGGCACAAACATTTGTATTCATGAGTATGATTGTTTGTATCGGTCTGGGTGTTTTCTATGTATAATATGTGTTACGGAAGGAAGGACTGTATGAGGACTGGTTAAAAATGAGACACGTTCTTAGATGAGGTAAAATAGCTGTAATCAGCTCGCTAGCAAAAATATAAAGACAATATGGCATAAGAAAACAAATAGTATATAAAAACAGAACGTCAAAATATAAAATTCAAATATATATAAAAAACATAAAAACTATCAAAAAGGTTGCCATCGGCAACATCCTCCCCAATTTAGCTGATGGGCAACCGCACCAGCTTCTTGGGAGCTCGACGTAGTGTTCCGCCAGCCGTTTGAACGTCGACGACACGTACACCCCCATCGTAGCCAGGATGGACCGCCGAAACTCAATGTTACGGAAGGAAGAATGGACTGTATTAAGGCTGGTTAAAAATGAGACACGTTCTTAGGTGAGGTAAAATAGGTGTAATCAGCTCGCTAGCAAAAATATAAAGACAATATGGCATAAGAAAACAAATAGTATATAAAAACAGAACGTCAAAATATAAAATTCAAATATATATAAAAAACATAAAAACTATCAAAAAGGTTGCCATCGGCAACATCCTCCCCAATTTAGCTGATGGGCAACCGCACCAGCTTCTTGGGAGCTCAACGCAGTGTTCCGTCAGTGGTTTGACATCGATGAGACTTGCCAGGGTGGACCGCCATCGTTGCCAGTGTGGACCGCCGAAACTCTGCCTTTAAGTCAGCTACCTCGAGGAAGGTTGCTCTCTAAAATTGGGACCGACCGACGTCGACGACGCGTAGGAGACTGGGCATTTCTATCAGTCCTTGATTTTGGTATTAATTTTAATGTTCTTAAAACCAGCGTGCACAAGGGAACATCAGAGACATGGGTCAAGGGACGTGAAGTGGCTAAGACTTCTGCATCTACAATAATAATATTTGTCAGCATCCCTTCAAAAACTCGTAGCGTAAATGCAATGATGACTTCATGGCGCACTTAACATTTCTGACAAGGCGTTTTCAAGTGTCACCCATAAACGATGTTACAGAAGGAATAATACGTAAAAGGTGGTGCAATTGTCTGCTGCATATAAATACTGTACAGCTTACTCAATGTCTCAGGAACTCTCACAGTACTCAAGGCTGTGCAAGTTATCCCAGATAATTTTGTAGTAGTGTCCCTCTTCTCGAAACGACTCAATATTGCAACATCTATTTTAATACCTCGAGGTGTTGGCAGACCACAGTAGTTTATTGCTGCTAGCTCTTCCGTGCATGAAGATACCTGGCTCTGGCGTATGGTTCCGACAACCAGTCCGCTGTATCTCTTCAGTTGTTGAAGAAGGCAAACATGTGAGGCTTCTTGAAGCTGCCGACCTCGTAGTTTGGCTACGGTTGCCCATCAGATGTGCCAAATTTAATAAAATAGAAATCGCTCGCGTGTCTGCGGAAGAGGTAGACATTTTAGTACCTATTCCTGTCGGGTCTAATTTAAAATTATTTTTATTTAATTTGTCTATTTCTAAAGTGTCAGAAGTTGTTACATAATTTACATTAACTTCTGAATCCGTCCCTGATACATTATTTGACGAATGTGAAAAACCAAAAATGATCCAACCCAATTTAGTTAAGTATGCCACGGGTTCAGAGGGACCATTCTCTCGAACTTGTGAAGGAAGGGATAAAAACCAATTATCAATACCTATAATGAGAGTTGGTTGCACATTTTCATAAGAAATAATATTTTTCAAATCTGACAAATGAGAAAACCTTTCTAAGTCAGTCGCACGTAACGTCTGTCGTGAGACACCCAATCTGGCAATGGAACGCACTCTACGTAGTTTAAAAGGATCACCACCAGAATTGCGCCCTTTAATACATATGTCGACAAACTCTACTTCAGACAGTTTTGAGAGCCCCCCAATGCATTCAACCTTGAGGCTAGCCTTCGGTCCAGATACCCCTATAGCGCGAGAAATCTTAGAATCAATAAAGGTAGAGGTCGATCCATCGTCCAAAAGAGCAAATGTATCGACACTACCCTTAGGGCCGCTTACTGTAACCGCCACAACTTTTAACAATGGCCGTAAAGTCTTATGTTCATTGACAGTCTGACCAATGAACGTATGAGCAACTGTCTCGTTAACGTTTTTATCGGTTGTCATTATCGGAGGACAATCTGCGGAATTCATGGAAATATGCGCTCGTGGTTGGTCCTCCTGAGATATATCCTCTATAGTAACATAATTATTACTGACAGAGGACCCCGACACACCCGACAAAAAATGTAAAAGTTTATGATGCTTATATTTACACCCCGAAATATTACATAAATCTCCTCTAGTACAATATTTATATCTGTGTAAACCTTTCTTAAGGCATCTGTTACAAACTTTTTCATTTTTACACCACTTAAACCTCTTTTGAGGTGTGAGAGAAAGAAATTTTTTACATATTTCTATTGCATGACACTGCTGACAATAAAGACATATTAATGTCTTGTCATGCGTATTATCAACATTGTCACTCAAAGAAAATGTACTAGAATGTGATGAATTTTTCATTTTAGAATTTATTTTAGAATAATTATCGAAAGAACTACCAGGATGATTATTAATTATACCAAATTGTAATTGAATATTTACCTCCCTAGTCAAAAAATCAGCTAAAAGTTCAAGTTTTGTTGGTGAACCTACAGACGTGTTGGAGGTGAAATTTTTGTTGGAAATAATAAAATCTATCCACCGTGATCTCATTAGTGGGGTCAATTTGGATAATACAGAGTTAAAAAGTTCAGGAGATTCTAAATAAGCTTTGTTTTTCAGTAATTTTATAATTTCGACACTGTTACGAACGCGACAAGCAAGAATATGTAAATCTCTCGATTCTGTGCCTAGCCTAGGAAGGGCCCGCAGTGTATTCACTTCATGTAGTACAATGTACTCTGGTCGAGCGAACCGCATTTCTAGCTGTGCCATGACTGGCGCAGGGTCGTGTGCTGTCACCAACAATACGGCAACGGCCTCTCGTGCACTACCACGTAACGCCATGCCAATACGTGCTAAGTTTTCAGCAGGCGTGTACGAAGAGGCTGACTCTTCGAAAACTCTTTTAAAAATAAACCAATCTAAATGTTTACCATCATAGGGAGGTAGCCGATCATCCCTGTGTTTTGAAGGACGGTTAACATTCGTTAAAGCTGTTATTGCATTTGCTAATAAATGAATATCTGACTTACCTGTGTGTGTATTATTTTTACAACAAATATTACTTTCCGGGTGCTGATTTGTAGTTACTATTCCCTGAGGACACTGGTAACTACACTGTGCCGATGATTCAGCCAGCACCGCATTAATAGGACCTGAAGATTGAAGATATGTAGATTGGGGCTCTGAAAAAGTCAAATGTCTGTTAGTGAATTTATTAGAAACAGAGACGCGATCCACAAGGGCAGACGTACCGAGGCGCGAATAAGCGACCTCCGAAACAGGGGTACGACTGCGGGGACACGTTGTAGAAGGTAGGAAATCCACAAGAGCCGAACTACCGGTGGCTTGAATACCAACAGGGGCAGTACGACTGGGAATGACCACCTCCCTAGGCTCCGTTGCAACATCTACACATTTGTTGAGCCAACCCTGGACATATTTAATAGACGAACGAACGCTACGTCGACTGTTACGTTCATCTTCAGCTTCAATCTCAGCTAGTTGAGCGGATAGCTCCAATTCGAGTACCTCACGTTCTCTTTGTTGTAATTGTCGTTCTCTCTCCGCTTCTTTTTGTTGGCGCTCCGCTTCTCTCGCAGCTGCGGCTCGTTCCAAATCCAAGAGCTTTTTTGCATGCTCGATTTGAGCGGCTACGGAACGGGCTCTGACAGTGGAAGATGAAGTTGTGGAACCTGAAATAAAAGAGCGTGCTGCGCCCGTTGTTTCGAGCGGCGCGCTGGATTCCTCACCAACTATATCCGCGGAGGATTCCGCTCTTGGCTGACTACTCTCACCCTTCGTTTGGGAACGTGTCTTCATGTCGGAGAAAAATTTAGAATTTTTAAATATATTATAATACTAAAGACGGCGAAAGAAAGGACCACAATGTTGCGGAAGGAAGGACTGTATAAGGACTGGTTAAAAATGAGACACGTTCTTAGATGAGGTAAAATAGCTGTAATCAGCTCGCTAGCAAAAATATAAAGACAATATGGCATAAGAAAACAAATAGTATATAAAAACAGAACGTCAAAATATAAAAAACATAAATACTATCAAAAAGGTTGCCATCGGCAACATCCTCCCCAATTTAGCTGATGGGCAACCGCACCGGCCTCTTAGAAGCTCGACGTAGTGTTCCGCCAGCCGTTTGAACGTCGACGACACGTACACCCCCATCGTAGCCAGGATGGACCGCCGAAACTCTGCCTCTAAGCCAGCTACCTCGAGGAAGGTTACTCTCTAAAATTAGGACCAGATCTCCGACGCGTAGGGGACTAGAATTTCTATCAGTCCTTGATTTTGGTATTAAATTCGGCAGGTATTCTTTAAGCCAACGCATCCAAAAATGATCGGTAAGTCGCTGTATCTTTCTCCACTGCTGTCTTCCCACCAGGTCTCTATCAGAGAATTGTGTTGTCAGTGTAGGTTGCGCTCCTGATGATGTACCCAAGAGAAAGTGCATTGGTGTTAATGCTTCTTCTGAGCCTGGTTGATCAGAGATATGTGTCAAGGGACGTGAGTTGACTAAGGCTTCTGCCTCTATAAGGAGAGTTGTCAGCATCTCATCAGAAACTCGTCGATCTTGTAATGTTGACTTCAGGGCGCACTTCACGCATCTAACTAGGCGTTCCCAAGCGCCTCCCATAAACGGTGCTGCTGGTGGAATAAAACGCCAACGAATGTTGGAATTGGCTGCGGTATTTAAAATACTCGAACCGTACAGCTCCCTCAATGTCCTCGCAGCACCCACAAAGGCTGTCCCATTATCAGAGATAATTTCTAGTGGGGTCCCTCTTCTTGCAATAAAACGACGGAGGCTCAGAATTGCAGAATCAGTCGACAAACTATGTACTACTTCAAGGTGTATAGCACGAGTAGTTAAGCAAGTGTAAAGTGCACAATAACGCTTCTCAACGTGTCGACATACGGATACCCAGAGAGGGCCGAAGTAGTCTAAACCCACGTAAGAAAACGGTCTCTTGTGATGAGCAAGTCTTATTTCTGGTAAGTTTCCAACTGGTGTACTAATTGGTGTTGCTTTCTTTATACGGCAGATCTGACACGAATTAATAACAGCTCTGACCGTTGATCTGAGTTTCAAAATCCAGTATGACTGACGCAACTCATTAACTACAGTATCATGCTGCGCATGTGCAGCTTTTTGATGATAATGAAGTACCAATAATCTTACCGCATAGTCTTTACCATCAAGGAGGATCGGACATTTTGTGTCATTGCTGACATTCTCTACTACATCTATTCTCCCTTGCAGTCGTAAAAGTTCTCCTTCTCCAAGAAATATGTCGATATTACCTATTCTACCACCTCGAGGTACTGGCAGGCCACAGCGGATTGCTGCTAGCTCTTCGGTAAAGGAAGATACCTGACTCTGACGTAGGATGTGATTCTCCGCCCGTTGTATCTCTTCAGTCGTTAAAGGAGGTAAGTGTATCACGCTGCTTGAAGCTGATGACCTCGCAGGTTGAGTGCGATTGCCCATCAGTTGTGCCCTTCTATTCGCAACATTGTACCTGTTGATGAGAAGAGTGATAAACTGATGTGAACGGGCAGTAGATCTAAGTAATCTAAGGTAACTACTAAAATGTATAGGAGAGGCTGCGATAGGTGAAAAGATGTCGGTGACATTTATGTAGTGTGATAATTTATAAGATGGTTTCAACTCCTCTATACATGGGAGAGTTGAGATGGATGGTTCGAGAGGCCAGTTATTTGGAGAAGACCGCAAGAACTCAGGACCGTTGATCCATCTACTTTTTTCAGTAAGGTCGCTGGGTATCGAACGAGTCGCGTCATCTGCTACGTTTAAGCTTGTAGGTACCCAGCGCCATTCGGATACGTCTGAAAGTTCATGGATTTCCCCCAAATGAACAGAAACAAAGGTTTGATATTTTCGAGCGTCATTACGAATCCAACCAAGTACATTACGAGCATCCGTCCAGAAAACCCTAATATTAGGTTTAAACGCATGTGCCGAACATATCGTACGCGCAAGACGAGCTGCAATCAGTGCACTTTGAAGTTCTAAACGTGGAATGGTATGGACTTTATTTATGGGATTTACTCTAGCTTTACTGGAAACTAACATGAGCTGCACATTTCCATCAGAGTACGTAATACGCCAATATGCTACTGCTGCGCACGCGTCCTTACTAGCGTCGCAGAAAATATGCAACTCACGATGTTCTACATGATTTGATAGAAGATACCAGCGTGGGATTTTTAAAGTTAGAACAGACAACACGTCGTTATGCCATAAACGCCATTTTTTTAATAGATCTTCCGGCAATTCGTCATCCCAGCTGATACTTACACGCCAGATATTTTGAAATATTATACGTCCTCTAATAGTAAGAGGTGACAATATACCCAAGGGATCGAATATACGCATCAAATCCGATAGAACAACCCGTTTAGTAAGTTTTTTTGGTAATTCTTGAACAAAATTGTTACTAAAACCGAGAGTGTCTTTATCTGGATGCCATATCAAACCCAATGTCCGTACGCTTTGGGGAAAGTGACCTAAATCAACTGAATCGACAGATGTCGACTGTACAAGACGTAAGTGTGGAGAGACGAGTGCTAAAGCAGAAGGCTCGTTCGAAACCCACCCACGAATTTCAAAAAGTGCTCGACTATGCACTTCGATTACGTCCCTCGCTACTTGAGACGCTTTCTCTATGCTAGGATGACTACCTATATAATCGTCCATATAAGTGTTATGAATAATAGCTTCCGCCGCGTCTGGATATTTGTTTTGATACTCTGTTGCATTTTTGTTCTTAATATAAATAGCCGCAAAAGGACTAGAAACTGCCCCAAAAATCATAGAACTCATCCTATAGATGCGGATAGGTTCGCGAGGACTGTCACGCCATAGGAAGCGTTGAGCATCCCTATCGACCTCTCTAATCTTTACTTGTGGGAACATCTCACGAATATCCGCGATTATTCCTATTTTGCCTTCACGAAACCGAAAGAGTATATCTATGAGAGATTGTAACAAATCAGGACCCTTAAGCAATAATGAGTTGAAGCACACACCGTCGCATTTCGCAGCGGCATCATGTACTACTCTTAACTTGCCTGGTTTATTGGGATTTGTGACTCCAAAGTGCGGTAAATACCAAAGGACAGACGATTCTGACACGTCATTCGTGCATAGTTCCGCATAACCTTTATCGATAGTGTCTTTGATATTTTTACGATAACTATCGGCGTATACAGGATCCCTGAGGAATTTCTTTTCTAGTGCTGAAAATCTAGATAAAGCTAACCGATAACTATCTGGTACTTTAATATTATCAGACCGCCATGGTAAACCGACTTCAAAACGTCCTGTCGGTAGACGTCGGGTCGTATTAACCAAAATAGAAACGGCTCGCGCGTCTGCGGAAGAGGTAGACATTTTAGTACTTATCCCTATCGAATCTAATTCAAAATAATCTTTAATTAATTTGTCAATTTCTAAAGTATCAGAAGGTGTAATACAATAATTTACACAAACTTCTGAATCCGTCCCTGGTACATTCTTTGGCGAAAATGAGAAACCAAAAATGACCCAACCTAATTTAGTTAAACACGCCACGGGTTTAGAGGGACCATTCTCTCGAACTTGAGAAGGAAGTGATAAAAACCAATTATCTATACCTATAATAAGCATCGGTTGTACATTTTCGTAACAAATAACATTTTTCAAATCTGATAAATGAGAAAAACTTTCTAAGTCAATTGTACGTAACGTCTGACGTGACACACCCAAACTAGTAATGGAACGCACTCTACGTAATTTAAAAGGGTCACCGTCAGCATTACGCCCTTTAATACATATGTCGACAAACTCTACCTCAGACTGTTTTGAGAGCCCCCCAATGCATTCAACCTTGAGGCTAGCCTTTGGTCCAGATACCCCTATAGCATGAGAAATCTTAGAATCAATAAAGGTAGAGGTCGAACCATCGTCCAAAAGAGCGAATGTGTCGATACTACCCTTAGGGCCGCTTACTGTAACCGCTACTACTTTTAACAAGGGCCGTAAAGTCCTAAGCTCATTGAAAATCCGACCACTGAAAGAATGAGCAACTGTCTCTTTTTCATTTGTATCGTCCGTCCTCGTTGATGAACAACTCGCGGGAGTCAAGGAGCTCTGCGTTCGGGGTTGGTCTTCCTCAGGCACCTGATATGATAACAATGATGTTGCCGATGGCAACCTTTTTGATAGTATTTATGTTTTTTATATATTTGAATTTTATATTTTGACGTTCTGTTTTTATATACTATTTGTTTTCTTATGCCATATTGTCTTTATATTTTTGCTAGCGAGCTGATTACAGCTATTTTACCTCATCTAAGAACGTGTCTCATTTTTAACCAGCCTTATACAGTCCTTCCTTCCGTAACATTGTGGTCCTTTCTTTCGCCGTCTTTAGTATTATATTATAACAAAAATTCTAAATTTTTCTCCGACATGAAGACACGTTCCCAAACGAAGGGTGAGAGTAGTCAGCCAAGAGCGGAATCCTCCGCGGATATAGTTGGTGAGGAACCTAGCGCGCCGCTCGAAACAACGGGCGCAGCACGCTCTTTTATTTCAGGTTCCACAACTTCATCTTCCACTGTCAGAGCCCGTTCCGTAGCCGCTCAAGTCGAGCATGCGAAAAAGCTCTTGGATTTGGAACGAGCCGCAGCTGCGAGAGAAGCGGAGCGCCAACAAAAAGAAGCGGAGAGAGAACGACAATTACAACAAAGAGAACGTGAGGTACTCGAATTGGAGCTATCCGCACAACTAGCTGAGATTGAAGCTGAAGATGAACATAACAGTCGACGTAGCGT